AATCATAATTAGTAATTTTTAAAATACACAAATAATTCCTAAACAATTAAACTAAAAATATAAAAAAACATAAAATGAAAGCTAATTCTTAATAAAAAAATATAATAGTATATAAATAGTACTAAAATAACACTGCTCAGATGTTTCTTCAAAAATTACTTATGAAAAACTACAAAAAAAAAAGAGTTCATTGACATACTTTAAGAGTACAGAGCTATAAAACTCAGTGTATAGAAACAAATGTCGTTTAAGAGATCTAATTTGTGATTTTGCTTTGTTATGTCTTCATATGACGGTAGATACTTTAGTATAATGTGGTGATTTATTTATTCTGTGAAATAATTTGGCAGAGAAAAAAAAAAAATTTAAATGTTTTGATAATGATAGATGGCTAAAGATGAATCTAAATTCGTTCTGCTTAGCAATAATGATTAATCTCAGTAAAAATAAATTGTACAAACTGATGAAAAAAAAAAAAGTAATCATAATTAGTAATTTTTAAAATACACAAATAATTCCTAAACAATTAAACTAAAAATATAAAAAAACATAAAATGAAAGCTAATTCTTAATAAAAAAATATAATAGTATATAAATAGTACTAAAATAACACTGCTCAGATGTTTCTTCAAAAATTACTTATGAAAAACTACAAAAAAAAAAGAGTTCATTGACATACTTTAAGAGTACAGAGCTATAAAACTCAGTGTATAGAAACAAATGTCGTTTAAGAGATCTAATTTGTGATTTTGCTTTGTTATGTCTTCATATGACGGTAGATACTTTAGTATAATGTGGTGATTTATTTATTCTGTGAAATAATTTGGCAGAGAAAAAAAATAAATTTAAATGTTTTGATAATGATAGATGGCTAAAGATGAATCTAAATTCGTTCTGCTTAGCAATAATGATTAATCTTTGTAAAAATAAATTGTACAAACTGATGTGAAAATCAACATGTAATCAAAACTGACTGAACTTAATTTCTTAATTGACAATCCTTAATTCATCAGTGCACATTATTAACAATCATTTTCATTTTCAATATATTTCAATATTGTACAAAAATATATTTCCAAACTTCCTCACAGTGTAGCAAGATTTGACACCGGAGGCTACACCAGCTATTGTTAGTCAATGTAATGGTGAATAAATGTTAATCAACAGCTAAATAGCTATAAATAAAAAATGTTTTAGCAATGGTTTGGAGGACCACTTTACAATCCAATCCACTCCCAGTGGATAGACAACCAAGTTCCAACCTACATTTTTTCTTGTGCAATAACATATTTTACTCAGAAATACATGAAATTATGAAAGTACAGTGAGTTGGTTTCATGTTGACTTCATAGTCTATGTTTCATCATGATTCAGCAGACTTACCTCATTCTCATAGACTGCAATCACTGTTCGTTCCAGCTGAATGTATCGGTCCTTGTAGCTGCTCAAGAACTTCCCTGAAGACTTCTTCAACCAGCCCGCCTTCGCAGCGCTCGTCACCTCGTTGGGCTTGGCTGGCTCCTCTTTCACGCCCTGTTTTGGAAAGGAAGGAGGAAATCTGCATTTCTTAGTCTTTGTAAAAATAAATTGTACAAACTGATGTGAAAATCAACATGTAATCAAAACTGACTGAACTTAATTTCTTAATTGACAATCCTTAATTCATCAGTGCACATTATTAATTTTCAATCATTTTCATTTTCAATATATTTCAATATTGTACAAAAATATATTTCCAAACTTCCTCACAGTGTAGCAAGATTTGACACCGGAGGCTACACCAGCTATTGTTAGTCAATGTAATGGTGAATAAATGTTAATCAACAGCTAAATAGCTATAAATAAAAAATGTTTTAGCAATGGTTTGGAGGACCACTTTACAATCCAATCCACTCCCAGTGGATAGACAACCAAGTTCCAACCTACATTTTTTCTTGTGCAATAACATATTTTACTCAGAAATACATGAAATTATGAAAGTACAGTGAGTTGGTTTCATGTTGACTTCATAGTCTATGTTTCATCATGATTCAGCAGACTTACCTCATTCTCATAGACTGCAATCACTGTTCGTTCCAGCTGAATGTATCGGTCCTTGTAGCTGCTCAAGAACTTCCCTGAAGACTTCTTCAACCAGCCCGCCTTCGCAGCGCTCGTCACCTCGTTGGGCTTGGCTGGCTCCTCTTTCACGCCCTGTTTTGGAAAGGAAGGAGGAAATCTGCATTTCTTAGTGAACCAAAATTTCAGTTTGACTTGGCATGCATTGAGATCTGAGTCCACCGAGAGCATTCCTTCAAGGGGAGGGTGAAGTATGTAGCGGCTAGATTATCTCTTTTTTTTGGCCGGCATATGGGTTTCATGTGACCTTCAACATCTTTTCACACTTAATAGAAAGGACAGATGATGCTTTATTCCCACATCTGCGCTGTTTCATTTTTTACAGCCTTCTCATGACTTTTGGGGATCTTATCTGAATTTATCATTAAGCACATAATTACTGGCGTTTGCTAAGGAACGCTTTACTATTATTATGTCTCATAATTTAGGGTTATGGATTTAAACAAACTTCTAAACTTTAGAATTAAACTTTGAAGATGCAAAACTACGTTTTAAGTGAGCAGACTTATGATTCTCCCTTAAAAAACATACATTGAAGCAGGGTTATTATTGTTAACTAAATCTAACATTAAAAACAAAATGAATTTTCTGAAGAGACTCAATCACTTTATATGATGAACAGATTTAATTTAGGCTTTTATTTAGATATGAACTTTGATCAGCGAACATAAACAGAAGCTTAAACGTACTTGCTTGACACGTGAAAACAAACCTCACTGGTTCTTGCGGAAGCCCAGATGTGCCGCATAACACAAGAGAATGAACCTCACTGGTTCTCACTTGACGGATGTTTATATGTGATTATAATACAGGGCTGTTGAATGCTAGAATCTGATTGGTTGATGAACGTTCTAAGGTGTGCATTTATCTTCAGGGAAACGCACAGGTTAAATAGTTCCAGGCAGGTCCTGACCGCATTACATTGTCCATATCAGTTCGCCAAACGATTTCAGTTATTTCAAAGGTCCTTACAGCCTAAAACAGCGAAATAACCAAACCCACAATGACACTGACCAAGCAAATGAAAATAGTAAACAATATGATAAAAATATCAAATTATTTCCATGTTTTTTGCCACAAAATTACATTTGTGACCCTGGACCACAAAACCAGTCATAAGGGTTTTGTTTTTAAATAGAGATTTATACATCATTGAAAGCTGAATAAATAAGCTTTCCATTGATGTATGGTTTGTTAGGATAGGACAATATTTGGCCGAGATACAACTATTTGAAAATCTGGAATCTGAGGGTGCAAAAAAAAATCTAAATATTGAGAAAATCACCTTTAAAGTTGTCCAAATGAAGTTCTTAGCAATGCATATTACTAATCAAAAATTAAGTTTTAATATATGTACAGTAGGAAATTTACTAAATATCTTCATGGAACATGATCTTTACTTAATATCCTAATGATTTTTGGCATAAAAGAAAAATCAACAATTTTGACCCATACAATGTATTTTTGGCTATAGCTACAAATATACCCCAGCGACTTAAGGCTGGTTTTGTGCTCCAGGGTCACATTTTATTATGTATGGAAAACACAGTCTATTTCTCCCGCTCTCTGCCATACAAACGCACACACATAGAGTACTGACACACACTCACACACAGAAAGCCATGCTCTGACGATTTTATCAGTAAAATAGTTTAGCAACTTAAAAGTTTAGCAGGCTACATGAAATTTCTCACTAGTGAGGTAATACAGTGCTGCTCTTGAAGCAGATGAACTTAAAGTTTCGCTGTTAGTCAAGATGCTGCTACTGAACACTGTTGAGAGATGCACAGACTCAGGTGATTCACACACACTTAATTGCAGGAGGCTCCTCCCGAAACTACGTTGGGAACTTCAGCTCGCTCGCTCGTTCTCTCTCTCTCTCTCTCTCTCTCTCTCTCTCTCATAAATGCATTAATAACTGCATAACTTTCAACAGCTCCAGCCTCCGTTACTAGGTCTAAAATTACATTTTGGAATTAGCAACAGAGGCATGGGATGAGCTACGTAAGAAATTAATCGTACACACAAGAGTGTTTTAAGGTCCGTTGAATTATTAGAGAATAATACACACCCGAGGTGAAATGGCCTGCTTCAAATCATGGCCGCATCACCACCTAGGGTCAATTATTATTACATACTAGGGATGCTCCGATCAGGATTTTTGCAGCCGATACGGAGTACCGATTTCTTGTCATGGTGATCGGCCGATACCGATGCCGATTCTGATGCTTCAAGCTTTATATAGACGGTTTCATCGGGCGCACACACCTGTCCCGAAGTTAACTTCCGGTCTGTGTTTGTTTATCAGTCTGGCTATGGCGCCCACTACAAACATCGTTAAGTTAAGGTGATGAGTAGACAGAGGTTGGGCTCAGGTGGTTGTGCTGTGGGATGTGTTTCCCATACATTTATTTATTTGTGGCGCTCGCCACAATATCAAAAATGACGGATTTTCCAAAAGGCTTGGTTGAATAAACATGAGCACGTACTGCACGTTTAAAAATCAAAACGAGGCGCGGTTGTTTTTATATCACTGTATTTCTGAAGAAAGACTATCTTTAGAACATTTTCGATGTCATTTTCATTTCATCTTGCAGAAACGTCATAGCATTTCCACACCGGCGATGACATGACTGCGGCGGCAAATCATTTAATGTCACCACGCATCATGTACGTCGTCACGCGTTGACTTTAATCAAATTGCGATCGGTTCCTAAAATCGGCTAAGTTAGTGAGTACCGATCGAGTCATAAAATATGATTATCGGCCGATACCGATCTCCGGCCGATCGATCGGAGCATCCCTATTACATACATAAAAGCCTAAATTCAAACTATTCATCATATGAAGCAATCGAGTCTCTCCAGAAAATTTGGACTAAACTGCTCAATTCCTATGGATTATTTATGAACTTTTTGAAGTGTCAAAGTGGTAGTCACATAGACTGTCAATGGAGGGACAGAAATCTCTCAGATTTCATTAAAAAATATCTTCATTTGTGTTTCAAAGACGAACAAAAGTCTTACAGGTTTGGAACGACACAAGGGTGAGCAAATAATGACAGACTGTTAATTTTTGGGTGAACTATCCCTTTAAGAAAATGTATCTAACCATCATGACTATGGGAGTGAAAAGACACAGGCGAGTATAGTTGTATGCTTTTTAAATGAAGTTTTGTAATTAATATTAAATTAAGAATCTAAAATGCAGCCCGATGCAGCTGTATTTAGAATTCCCAGGAATTTTCAATAGGAATCTATGCGAGGAAATTCCTCAGGATGTCTCTTTAGAGGGTCACCAAGCTGTTTTTCCACTTTCACTGGGCCTTTGGAAAGAGCAGCGCGTGCTAGAGAAGGTACAGCTGTCCGAGGGAGGAAAACCTGGAGAATAATATGAGCAGCACTGTGCCACACTGCCCTGTCCGGGAAACCAACAGGTCACTCATGCCCTCGCAGCGTCTGTGCTGAGGGAGGGGGATGGAGCGTGAGACAGCTCTTTGTTTTTCTCATTCTGTTTGTGTGTAAATTGGAGCAGAGCGCACGAAACATCACAACACACTCGCCGGAGAGAGACTTTGGGTGGGACGGAAAAATCTGTATTGTGAAAAAACAGAGTGGAGCCTATTTGGACGTACAAAGTGGAGCGCATACGACAGCAGAGCGAGACAGAGAGAGTATGCAGTGTTTTAAAGCATATGATAAAACAGGAAATAAGCCAAAACATACGTTAAGCTCGGGTCGATCAAACAGGAACTCACAGTGCTAGATGAGATAATTTAAGAAAGCGAGAAGTTTCATTGGTGGTATTTGCTGAGGCTTGCATCAGTGTTGCTTTTGCCTATACTAGGGTTTGGGGTTTGTTCAGATCATTAACACCAAGTAAATTTTGCAGTATAACTCATTCCCACACGTTTGTGCTATGAACATGAATGTGAAAGTGATCAGATATATGATTATTTTTCCTGGTGGCTGATAAAATGAGCCAAAAAATGCATTAATGGAAGAACTCAAATCACATCATGGGAGCAGAACATCATAGAGACTTTGGGGTTTTGGCTCTTCTGACTTGAACTTAAAAACAACCACCTAGTAACTGGCATAAGAAACATTGCAGAAATGCACTGAATAGCACTCATAAGACCCTAGCAACCACATAGCAACGACCAGAAAACCTTCCAAAACACCCTAGCAATGTCTCCAATGTTCAAGTCTTGCATGGGCAAGAACAGGAAAATTATTTGACAAATTAATTTTTAATTATTACATTTGAATTTTCACTAAACTTGATCACACAATCAAGGAAAACACACAAATGTTCAAAATAAGTGAATAATAATAATAATAAATTACATTTTATAAAGCACCTTTAAGGGTGGCTTCTAAAGGCAATTTAAATAAGACAAAGTCATCAAAACAATATGTAATATATAATATAAAATAATAATAATAATAATAATAATTATTATTATAATTATCATTAATAATAATAATAATAATATTACTATTATTAATAATAATTTTATAAAGCTCCATTAAAGTTTTCAAGGCAGTTTACGTAAGACATAAAAACCAATTGTTATTATTATTATTATTCATTTTGTATATTATGTATTATTTTTAAAGGCACTTTTACATAAGAAAAAGACATAAAAACAATACCTAATATATAATATAAAAGTTAAATAAAATAAAAGTTAAATAAACATAAAAGTAAAATAACAACAACAACAATTATTATTATTAGCAGTAGTAGTAGCAGCAGCATATCTTACTATTTATGATAATAATAATAATAATAATTTTATAAAGTTTTCAAGGCAGTTTACGCAAGACATAAAAACCAATGCATAATATATATAAATAATATAAAAGTGAAATTAGTAAAGGAAATATAATATACAACAATTCAGTTCCTTTTTTAAAAAAACTAACAAAAAATGGTTTCTAAAGTTGAATATGCTAGAAGATCCATGCAAAACCTCCATATAACTCTGGGTGATTGAGATTAGTATGACCCTCATTAGCCATCATGTGTTTCATAAACATACAAAAGGCCATGCATGTGCGCAGCTCCATCTGGGTCAGATATCAGAGCTCTGCACTGTGCGCTGACCTGGCCGGTGTCGACTCGCACACATCTAAATATGAATCATCTGTGTAGCTCTTCCCAAGATCTCACTGCAACCAAGACCAGAGCGACTTGTTCAAAGACTCACACTGCAAATATAACTTTCATTGGTCCAATAATAGTTCTGTCCAAACAAATGGAAACCTGTCCCCTTAAACAAGTGTTGCAGTATATTTATAAAATATTTGCAACATCTCAATCAGGGAAGTGTAAAACATGAATGCCAATCAGAGAAATAGGCTATAAAAGAGGAAATAGTAACCAGCGTTACAGATTTTACAGGAGGGATTAAGTATTCTTGCTACACTTGTCCTCCTTACCGCGCACGGGAGTCCCTCTACGCACCCCTCCTGGACCCACGAGGACACCAGCGTGCATGCAAGGGGAAGAGACCGGTCTCTCGAGGAGAGGCACGCTCGGCATTTAAACAGCGGCGGCGATGAGGCTCCATTCGGTTCAGGTGTGCCCCATCACACGCCACCAGCCCTGGCTATTTCAGCGCCCCTCCTCTCTCACGCACCCACTCATGTCGGGAGCCTGGCTAATTAGGGGGAGGCAGCCGACTCGTCACAGTGTGTTGATATCCAGCCGAAGAGCAATCAACCATAACTTCAGGCTCAGAAGTCTGTTTGAACAATCCGGATAAGCGCAAGTAAATACCATTTTGATTAGCCGTCGTACCTACAATGACTGTGCACTGTGTAAACAATGAGTGATGTATACGCGCGAGAGAGCACTTCCGGCGCTTGCGTAAACTACGCCAGAGCGCGTACACACCTCACCCAACGGAAGCCGTGCGCGCGCTCAAAGCAGTTGGACATAGTGGTGAATTAGAGGTAAAAAATTATATAAATACTGTTCGGTTTCTGGCACAAACCGATCGTTTCGTGTCTTAGGACATCAATGTGTCGTCACGAGCCGCAGAGTTTAATTTGGATTTGTCTGTGCATGTTTTTTTTACTCTCATAGATTTTGTTACCATTGCCATGCATTATAAGACTGATAGACTGCAACGGTTAAAGTTAAAAATCATCAAATGTGTTCTACTGAAGAAACAAAGTCACCTACATCTTGGATGCCCTGGGGGTAAGCAGATAAACATCAAATTTTCATTTTTGGGTGAACTATCCCTTTAACAACAAGGGTACAAAAGGTACAATTGTCAATCTGAAACCAGGTCAATCCTAACAAAGAAAGAATCAACTGGAATGCGCAAGTGATTTTGCAAAGGTGGGAGCATAGTGTAGTGTAAAGTGGAGACCAGAACGTAAAAGGTTGCTGGTTTGAGCTCTTCAAGGAAACAGCCATGAGCTTTGACCATTGTAACCTTAAGCAAGACACCAAACAACGGGTCGCTCTCAGCTTCAGACAGCATGTGTACAGACAGACCACCCACAGTCCATTCACTGACCATCTGATGCATGATGCACACAAACATTTCAAAAGTTCTCAGAGTAGCAAATAAACGATCCATGATATATATATATATGGCTGAAAAATAAACATTGCATACACTACCATTCAAAAGTTTGAGACTTTTAATGTTTTAATAATAATGTTTTAATGGCTCTTCTGCTCACCAAGGCTGCATTTATTTGATCAAAATACATTAAAAACAGTATTGTAAAATATTATTATGGTTTTAAATAACTGTTTTCTATTTGAATATATTTTAAAATGCTATTTATTCCTGTGATGCAAAGTTGAATATTCAGCATCATTTCTCCAGTCTTTTTTTTTTTTTTGCAACATTATAACATTTTACAAAATGTAATATAAAATATTTATTTAGCATCCTTGCTAAATAAAAGTATCAAAAAGTATCTTGCTGTATAGAAACATCTGAATGGTAGTGTACTATTTTTGGATGGACAGAAAAAAACAAATGCTACAAATATTTCTGCTTTTTAATTTCAATTATTTGAATGAGGTTTTTCTTTTATTGTGGTATTGACTAGTTCATATTTAGCAGTGCTGGCTATGTTACTCAAAAAAAAAGTACTAGCTGCCAATTACATCTTTAACAGCATAATTAGATTACTGTACTAATTACTAAACTTGCATAAATTATTCCTGAACTGACCAAATTATTTAAAGGGTCAAAAAGGTCACCTCAAAAACATAAGTTTTGACATTAGATGATAGATTCAAGTTTATTGTTCTATAGTCTATACAGTATTTAGTAACTAATTAAATTAAAGAAAAATTAAGAGTAGTCCCTCACTTGAATTTTTCAAGGGAAAAGTAATTAAATTACAGTAATTAATTACTTAGTAATGCATTACACCCAACAATGTTTACCATCCACTAAATGTCACATAAAAACAAAATGAACCGTGGTTAGTCGCTTTACATGACGGTCAGGCAGTCTCTTCCTGTATAACTAGATGGCTCTTGACCAAAACAAGCCGCAAAATAACGCAGCTGTTATGCTGATAGTGAAAAGATAAATGCCTAAAAATGGTACACAAGTGCACTTTTACTGCTGATGCTTTTACAAGTTTATGACAAGCTGAAAAGATGAGGGCCTCATTAAGAGCTTCATTATGAGGTAAACACTGGGTGATCTTCATAAAAAACAGCAAACAGTGAGAAGGATTTTCATGGCTCTCTGAAGCCCCACGACAACCTAAATTTACTGTGACCACAACAGCTGGTCTTTGTCTTAACGTCACATTAAATTGGGTATGTTTTCCCATGCTGTCATTATGTTCAGAGAAATACGGCATCAAATTGGCCGTGATGTACACAAAGGCCATTCAGGCACAAACAGATTCCTTGACACAAACATCTGTCACTATTCATCTCGATTCACATTTCAACTTGTGTTCTAATAAATGACAACAAAGACTTTAGACATTTTAGGCATGCCAATGTCAAGGTAATGTCGTCTTATCAAAGCTAAATAATGATTCTAGCTATGTACACTACATATTAACAATGTGTTTTTTTCAGCTCTGACCAGTGTTACTTCCTCATTTCATTAAGCATTTCCTGAAACTACTTGTTCGCTTAGTAAGAGGATCTTTTTCGCAGAAATCTGTTTATGTTTACATACAGATGGTTTAAAACAGAGATAGATAGATAGATAGATAGATAGATAGATAGTAGGGCTGTGCCATATTGAAGAAAAATGCAATATGTGATTACTCATTAAATAATGCGATATTCTATATGCGATACGATATATTACATAAAAATGTCATTTTAACATTAGTGTAATTATTTTAACATGAGTTTAGGAACTGAATAATAAAAAGGAAAAATAAAAACCCGCTTAGTATTTACTCTTTGAATTCAATATGCACTGATTCTTATTTAAGCTACAAACGTTATTTAGGTAAGAGCAGTGAGTGATTTTCTCTTTGTCTTTTGTTCATGGCCCCAAATATTGCAAGCTGTAGCGATATGCATATTGCAATATATCCATTTGAGATATTTCGATAATTTCAATATATTGCACAGCCTTAATAGATAGATAGATAGATAGATAGATAGACAAGAGCTGCAGAAGACGCGGTTATTTTAAAAGCAGAAACACAGTGAGCAGCGAAATAGATTAATACTTTTGCTAAAAATATTTTATTTATTTATTTATTTATTTAGTCATTTAGCAGACGCTAAATTATCCAAATTATTATTTTTATCCAAAGCGACTTACAAATGAGGACAATAAAAGCAGTCAAAACTAACAAAAGAGCAACAATATAAAAATATCAATGTATAGTATCAAGTATCAATCTGCAAATAGAGTTATTTTTGCCTATATATGACTCTGACGGTTCAAACCAGGTTTGTGACTGGCCTTTTTTTTTTTCATCTTTAGCATTATTAATCAGTATGTTAAGAGCATTTTAAAATAAACATAATTATTAAAATTGGGAAAATTATTTGTAGATGGCAAGAAAGACAAGTAGACAACATAAACTTTGAAATTAGGCTACTAGTTAAATATCTTTTCTGCTTTTGATTATGTTTGTTTTAAGCAAACTATAAAAATGGTCCAGACTTCAAGAGGAAAACTCTGAACCCCTACAGTATCTTTTTCTGTCACATGGCCTTCTGCCCTACATATGTATTTAAATGTAAAAAAAAAAAAAAAAAAGCTAGATAAAACATCTTATCTCTTAATATTCATATCTAATTGGGCTCAACTGATTTTTTTTTTTTAAGAAAAATTCTCAGAAGTTACTGGCCTTTGGCTCTGAGGACTCAATATCCTGACTTGTTTTTTAAGCATACTGGTGCCCAGATGGAAATATGTAATATATATGAGGAAATATATGAGACTGGAACTTTAATTGAATACCCCTGCCCTAGATGGACAGACATACACCCATGAGTGGATGGAAAACCTTTGAATCAAAAACATGCTATCAATATATCTATCTATCTATCTGTCAATCTGCAGAAAATAGAAAACAGTTAACAAACACCACACAAGGCTTGCCTTAGAAATGTTGGATGCTGCTGCCCTTCACTTCCTGGTACCGATCTAAAGCTACATCACCTCGATCTGATGAACAGAATATTAATAGTTCATAACTAAGGCTTACTCTACTGGAGCAGTTCACGACACATTTTAATTGCAGTGCACAAAAGCAAATAAGTGTTGCAACCCACCATTTCACTACACTCAGTTTTCAAGTATCAGCACTGGACCAAGTCAAAGTTAAATTAAAGTCAAGTGAGTTTTGCTTCACGTCGCCAGTGATGAGGACTTAAAAGTTACAAAGTTAGAGAGACTATTTACAATAATGCTAAAAATGTTCTATTTTCAAATACCATCTGTAGAGCGATAAAGAAAGGTATGTGAAATACTCACATCTTCCATGATATATAAAAACAAAGATCCCGTTATGCGCAGAAGAAAACGCTCGACGCAGGACTTTATCTCGGGTTAAAACTGTCGATGTCTCTTCGTCTCGACTTTCTCACATCCAACATGACGATGAAAAACAAGGAACTGTGAATGAGGCTAAAATGTAACGGGACCCTTCGGCTCTTTTTCCTCTTTCGACTTTCAGCAGTTACAAGTTTGAGGCTTGAAGAAGAAAAAAAAAAGTTAGTTTCCGGTAAGTTCCCCAAAAGCCTCTGCCGCTGCCAAGAGACACCACGGCCGCGTCTCAAAACACAGCGAGCTGCCTATCTATACAGCCTCGGAGCGCCATGAATTCCACTCACAAACAGTGCTTTGACGGACGTAGCGCGCGAGGTCTAGAACGACTTTCCAGTTAAAAGACTTTTGAATGAAATTTGTATAGATCTATTTTGGGGGATCTCACGCTGTCTCTCTCTGCCTCTGACATGTCAACTATGTTAAATATGTTGTATACACAGCACAAAGTCTTTTGAGATAAAT